TTTATATTACTGAAAACCTTATTATGTTATCTATCACTTTATATATCCCAATTAAGATTTTTGAAAACTTCAATTTTTGATGCTATTCTTATTATTTCAAAAATAGGTTACAATACTTGACTTTTAGGTCATTACATTGACTTGAAATATCAGGTTGTCACAACTGGAGGCCTTAATCTTCACTCTGGTTGACGAATCCTCGCTCTCACTTCCACTCTCGTAGCACAACTAAACTCTAACAGAACACAACCCATTCGAAAAATGTAATTCTCTCAAACATCCAATAACCGAACACCCATGCATCGAACACCCGCAACTGGCACCACCATCTTCATGATACTAGTCCTTTCCTAGCAACGTTAGTGCCTTGAACTCCAAAGATCTTCCATAGGAAATTATCGACCGTACCCAAAAAATGATAGAACCATTAAACTCTGACTTCACTAGAAAACTATCGCTCTAACCCTGACCTAATATCCTCTAACTAATGATTTTGCACAGACCCCGACAAATGTCTGGAATGATAACGGTATACATGGAACCCACTCCACAAGTTACGTCCTTCTCTAGGTTCCTCCAAGACTTCTCGGCATGCAGAATGGCATATAACAACCCATGGTAACCCAGACGATAGCAGCGAACCGACACGAGATCTAACTTGTCTGAACTCAATCAGAATTACAATATTGTACCATTTCTTGGCATCCACCTGGAAGTAGCAGAAAGTACACACCCGTAGTCATCCGAAGGATTCCTGATGACCGCCTTTGTTGCGGATCTTCGATTGGTCATAACTTCTTTGTTATAACGAGTATTTTAGCGTTCTTTATATTACTGAAAACCTTATTATGTTATCTATCACTTTATATATCCCAATTAAGATTTTTGAAAACTTCAATTTTTGATGCTATTCTTATTATTTCAAAAATAGGTTACAATACTTGACTTTTAGGTCATTACATTGACTTGAAATATCAGGTTGTCACAACTGGAGGCCTTAATCTTCACTCTGGTTGACGAATCCTCGCTCTCACTTCCACTCTCGCAGCACAACTAAACTCTAACAGAACACAACCCATTCGAAAAATGTAATTCTCTCAAACATCCAATAACCGAACACCGATGCATCGAACACCTGCAACTGGCACCACCATCTTCATGCTACTAGTCCTTTCCTAGCAACGTTAGTGCCTTGAACTCCAAAGATCTTCCATAGGAAATTATCGACCGTACCCAAAAAATGATAGAACCATTAAACTCTGACTTCACTAGAAAACTGTCGCTCTAACCCTGACCTAATATCCTCTAACTAATGATTTTGCACAGACCCCGGCAAATGTCTGGAATGATAACGGTATACATGGAACCCACTCCACAAGTTACGTCCTTCTCTAGGTTCCTCCAAGACTTCTCGGCATGCAGAATGGCATATAACAACCCATGGTAACCCAGACGATAGCAACGAACCGACACGAGATCTAACTTGTCCGAACTCAATCAGAATTACAATATTGTACCATTTCTTGGCATCCACCTGGAAGTAGTAGAAAGTACACACCTGTAGTCATCTGAAGGATTCCTGATGACCGCCTCCTGAGATACCTCGACCATTCCGAGGACATGATGTAAAACTCCTTTCTGATCCCGATGACAGGAACTAATACTAGCATTCTCCTTCTTGAAGGAGTATAAGGATTCACATGCTTTCGGCTTCAGATGAGCCCCTAACTGCCCCACGACAAATCTAGCTAGAAAGGCCCCGAGACGACTACCAAGAGCTCCCCAAATTCCCTTCCTTCGTTGAACGAAATACCATCGTGACCTTACTCCTGAGTCGAAATCGGAATCTAAATCTCATTCTTTAGTGATATCCACCATATCGAACTGACATTAAAGAGATCCGAATATACCCAAGATTCCTTATCCCACAGGCTTCCTGGATTCTCAAAAACTCTCCTCAACTTGAGTATGGATCTTGGACCCTATTGCACAATTCTTGTCTAAGTCCAACCATTCTAGGGTTGAGTCTTTTACTCGAAGGATTATATGATCTATGTTGCATGTGGCTACATTCATGAGGTAGTTGGTTGACATTAATGTGAATCCTTCAGCAACTGAGGACTGGATGGTTTAGGAACCTAGGAAAGCCTAGGAAATGCTTTACTGGACTGGGTTATGCTGTTAGTGAGCACTCAGAGTATCACTCTAAATCTCATTCTTTAGTGACCTCCACCATATCGAACTAACATTAAAGAGATCCGAATATACCCAAGATTCCTTATCCCACAGGCTTCCTGGATTCTCAAAAACTCTCCTCGATTTGAGTATGGATCTTGTGTTTTCAGTAGTATAGTCCTAATACTACCTTCCACACCTATCCATACTTTCCTCAAGCATCATCTCGAATCCTCCAATTCACCCTCTCAAATTGATACCTTGACTACTCGCTAACAGTATAACCCAATCCACTAAAGCATTTCCTAGGCTTTCTTAGGTTCCCGAACCACCCAGTCCTCAATTGCTGAAGGATTCCCATTAATGTCAACCAGCTACCTCATGAATGTAGCCACATGCAACATAGATCATATAATCCTTCGATTAAATGACTCAACCCTAGAACGGTTGGACTTAGACAAGAATTGTGCAATAGGGTCAAATCTATCACTCTGAGATTATCCACCCTATGCGACATGTGATGTAGCATATTCACTTAATAGCTAGCACACATTAGTAAGTCCCACAAAGCACAAAGCAAGTAGAATTCAGACAATGGAAAATCTAACCAACATATTCCAATCAAATCATTTTATCCTTTTATCATGAATCTATATTGGCATGTGATCTTAAGGCTCATACAATTAGGCATAACTTAAACGGGCTATCCTATCATGCATCTCAACAAGCACATATAGTAGGCATATAAGGGATCTTCCTAGATCCTTATCCCTAATCTAGAATGCAGTTTTTATACGCATACAGTAGGCATATAAGGCATCCTTCCTAGATCCTTAGCCCTAATCTAGCATGCAGTTCTTATAATCATATCATATCATAACATAACATAACATGTATTGGTATCATGGAGAAAACTTACTTGAGCTCGGCTAATTGCATGCATCACACACCTTGTTCTTTTCACTGTTCTTTTCCTTTATCAAATTGTTTTCAAACTTCTTTTTATATAATGATTTTTCTTTCGAAATTTTTCATACCAAGTCCTCAGTTTGAGTTAGACACATCGAGAGTGTGCGCGAATACCTCAAACCAAGGCTCTGATACCAACTTGTAACATCCCAAAATTCAAGGCCAAAAATTTCATTTTCAATTAACTAAATATAAAACCAACAATATAAAAACATCCATAATAACATCACATGTCAAGACCAAAGTGTCAATAATCAAATCATGTTATCATAAAATAATATCATAGTGTAATCCCAAAGATCTCATGTGCGGAAAATCATAGTGTGATGTGCTGCGATCAAGCCGGCTCCTTTCCTTTGAAAGTGAAATACCTGTAACCAAAATTGTAAACCATAAGCACAAAGCTTAGCGAGTCCCCACATCATACCACATACCATACGTAACACATATTGTATAACATATCCGGGTACTATCTACCCCTTCGGTCTCTTTCATTCGGTAAGTTTCCTAGCATATCAGGGTGTTGGCCTACCACTTTGGTCCTGTCGACCGGTAACTTGCCTAGAATACTAGGGTGTTGGCCTACCCCATCGGTCCTGTCGACCGTTACCTCACCTAGCATATCAGGGTGCTAGCCTACCCCTTCCATCCTTTTGACTGGTACCGGGGACTATTTCACTCCCTACTCTACCATATAGCATCCTAGTGCATAAACATATAAATCATATACTACCTAGCTTGTCTGGTTGATGGTATACCCCTTTAGCCCTATCGACCGATACTGGGCTCTATCCTACCCCTCCTATCACATATCACATAATATCATAGCATACTAGCACATAATTATAACAGATAGTAACATACTATATAATTATCACAAAGACAATCATATCTCACTACTAGAAAAACAGCCTTTTATGACGCTCATTGCGCATCGTAAAAGGCTCAGACGATGCACAAATGCGTGCCAAGGAAGACCTTGTCATAAAGAGAGACGACGCACTTTTGCGCGTCGTCTATAGACGACACGCATTTACGATGCTCATTTACAACGCACAATTACGACGCGCGTTTACGACACGCAATGCGTATCAAGATAGGCCCTGTAATAAAGGAAGACGACACGCATTCGCGTGTCGTAACCTTACGACGCGCGTGTTAATGACAGGCAATGCGTATCAAGAAAGCCCCTATCAAGGAAGGTCATGTCATAAATGAAGATGACACACATTTTTACGTATCATAATTTTAAATGTTTAAAAAAAATATTATTTATAGATTCACTAATTTTCAAATTAAATTTGTATTTAATATCTCATAATAGAAAATAAAATACCATATACAAAAAATACAATCCATTGCATAATATAAAATAAAATTTCATACACAAAAAATAAAATAAATTGCACAAAATGCCATACAAATAATCATTCAAATGTTAAACAAAAATAATACATTGCTATTCCTATAAAACTAACAAATAATCATCCAACTATGTTTCTTACTGGAATATGTGTGTAATTGTCTCCTTCATCAGCCTCCATGTATATTGTGATCGAATCTACCTTCCTACTATGTATGATCTTATTATGTCTGCTGCAAAAACCATGGGATTGCATTCATAGCCCACACCAATTACAAGTTTCTCATAGACAAAAATAACCTGAAATAAAATGTTGTTTATCAACATTTCAATAAGAATAAGTACAAAAACTATGCATAATGATAGTCTGAAATTTGAAATAAAATGTTGTTTATCTCATCCAAAAGGTGCACTTAAAGGGCATACTAACCTCACTGTCATTCAATATCATGAAATAGAAATGCTTATGACCCTTTCGAGCATATTCTTTTTGTCAAGCCTCATAAGCAGGCGTATCAAGCACCTACAAAAATATGTAAAAAAAAATGAAATTGTATATACACTCAAAATTTAAATTATAAATAACCTGTTGATTTGAACACAAATCTTAATAGGGGCATGTTCCCTTTACACATTTTATATTCAGCATCCTAATAAGACATTCATCCTGACATCCCATGCACCCATCTAATGAAGGATTACACTGGCAAACCATGATCTAATAGTCATTTCCAGAACACACATTTTAGCAAACACACTACATGTTAGATCTAATAAATAATAAAACAAATAACCTCATCAATAGTCTGATTTATACGATTGCGATGTAGAAACATGTTTGTCTTTATAAGCTTACAAGAGAGTTATACAGGATCTGCAACAAAAGATTTTCAGGTCAACAAGTACCTATTAGTTGCTTTTGTCCTGATTGACTGGAATTCAACTGTATATTAGAAGCATCTTCCTCACCAGTTGCTTCAGATAACTCCAGCTCCTCATTATATCAGCATTTGACTTTTCTTGTGGAATTGAACAATCCCCAAAGCTTTTATCTATGTTGTCCATACAAATCCTTCACATTATAAAATTTGAAGTATTTAGACACATCCCAATATATATTGTTATATCAAAGGTTGAAAAAAGATAAAATCATACCATCATGACCAAACACGTTCTAATTAGGAATCAATGCGCAAAAGTAACTTTCAAAAAAGATGCAAGCTTTGTTATTCAAAAAAGAAGATGAAGGGTAAAACGGTCATTTAGTCCTGTTTGTAGAAGATGAAGGGTAAAATGGTCATTTAGTCATAACATTCAAAAAGAAGCAAGCTTTGTTATTCAGATGGTGTAGATGATGAAAGGTAAAATGGAGAATTGTAGTCAATGTATGTTTACTTCTTTAACTTCTAGAAGAAGGGTAAAATGGTCATTTATTGTTATTCAGATGTTCAAAGAAGATACAAACTGTGTGCATACAACTTTTAAGTGCTCCAGACATCATTAAGTTATGTCTGAGTGTTTTTTTTTATGTATTCTTTCTCATTAAGTTACTTATATGAATGATGTTTTAACAATTTGCCCTCATTTCGTTTTAATCAAATTAGAAGTGAGCGTACCTTACTTTACTTATTTGAATGTAACAAGCAAAAGCTCCAAAAGTGAAGTTATCTACACACACAAATTTAGGTCCTGAAAAGTCTAGAATGACTCCATCTTCTCTGCCTATACCAATATAACTAACAAAAGGAAGAGGCCATGAAACAACAGGAAGAGGTGTCCATAAAATGCAACATGGAAAACAAGATCTTGATGGATCAATTTGCATGTTATGTGTTGGAATCTTGTGATCGATCATCATGTTGTGATTGTGTTCTGTATCTGATTCCAATTCCATTGCAAGATCTACACACAGTAATATGTGAATTGATTAGATACGATTTGTCCGATTTATCATTTCTGAATCGAGCTTAAATTTATAAAATAAAGAATGCTAATAAGTTAATTCAACAACATTGACAGTCAGCACCATGTGTAAGAACATTACCCTAATTTTCCATGATCGATGAAGTACGAATTTTGCGATTTATTATTTCTCATTTGAATTTAAAGCAGCTCTCAGTAATGACACTTCATTCAATCACTATCTAATCACTATCAGTCAGTATAGCTGTTTCCATGGTTGCATTACCTTTGCCCGCTGTCTCCTTACAAACTTCTTCAATTGATTTTGAAATGATATTGTTTAACTGAAAAAAAATATAAACAAATCTCTCAATTAGATTAAAAATGATCAACTTTAAAATTGTAGAGCACATGGTACTACCTTTCCAACTTTAATGTCGGCTTTGGTCCCCAAATCATCCAACTACGCACAAGTAATATAAAATAGTATAAAATTGATTGATTTGATATCTTATTACAAGTGCATGAAAACCCATACTTTGAAATATGTATCGAATCATCCAGACAAAAAAAATAAAATAAAATAAAATAATAAAAAAATGAAGATTTACACTACAATAATTGGATAGACTTTTCAAAGTGTATTATTTGTCCTAATAAGAAAAAAGAAAATATAACAATTCAAGAATATAATGCTATAGAATTCCTTGATTAGAAAAAATTTAGGTCGCAATAATATAATAGAAAGAAACGAAAGTAGGATGCTGTAATACAAAAACCTTTGAAAATAGGTTGTTCCTTGCATTTAGCCCCAAATCAACCAAGTTAAGGCAACACTTACAGATTCCAATGAGCTCCTATGCTTAACAGCAAGTATCCGGGCGGATATTGTTTCTCCAATTCCCTTAAATTAAAGTTAGAGCATGACGTATTAGTTGAAGGAGATCGTTTGTAATTTAGATAAATCTAACAATGACAACATATGAAAATTACCTTAAACTACTCCAGGTCGCTCCTGGTTTTGAAATTAGAAACATAATTCAATTTAGCATGACATAAATTGAAATCATTATGAGAAAGCAGGAGCAAAATTAAGATAACTTCAACTTACTTTTCGCCTCTTGTGAGTAGTTCCAGATATTTCTGGTAGAACAAGCTCTGCAGATTGATTCCAACTTGAAATATAAATTTTCGAAATTTTAAAAACCTAAGAAAAAGACTAAAGCTTTCATGATAAATCTTTCAATACTAAAGTTGTATTTGTTACAAAGAACATGATTAGATAGAGGACTAATCCTTTCATATTTCTCTCAGAAAGTAAATCATAAATCTAGAACAAAACCCTTAACCTCCAGCTTATAAACATGAAACAAATCAAAAAGTTATTTATAAAAGAATCATTCTATATCTCTCTCAAAATATTCAGTGATTCCTCACCCAACCATAAGAATTAACCTACTCCTTTCAGATTTCTCTCAAAAAGTACTAGCCTCTTTCCTTCAGTTTAGAATATATTGGATATAGGTTTCAAGGGAGCCAGGTTTTGGACCCATCCACCACATACAAACTAATCCACACAAAATGGAATGAGAAAACAATCAACAAGAGAAGATTTATGTTTAACCGTATTTAGAAGACAAACATTCATTTAGGGATAGAAAACAATAAGAAAAATGATAAATGGATTATCGCAAAATCATGTTTGAGTTCCACTACCTATATGCCAGAGAAAGGAACAAATTTATAAGCATTTTTCCAATACCCTAATCATCCAGTAACATGCAACACTAGCTTTAGTATGAAAAAGACCAAATACAAATTTAAGGCACCCGTAAAATTAATCAACAAAATTCAAGAAGGCAAGAAAGAGAGACCTGCAGAAGGCATCCAATCTTGCATGCAAAAACTTATTTGTGAAGAGAGAAGAGTCTCCTACATATTTTGATGAATTACAGAATGTAAGCTCGGGGCTTATAACTTGCAAAAAAAAATATGTATAAGAACAAACATACTAGCAAATAAGACAGCAGAGAAGTAAGATGAGAAATATTGGCATGTCACAAAAGCACCCCTGCTGTTAGTAGCTTCAAAAAAAAAGGTTATCATGAGTGTCAAACAGAATAACAGAAGTGGACACAAACCATCCACATATCTTGGAAAATAATATCATTAAAGAAACGAATAGGAGTTGAATGTCAAATATTAAGCCACATTATTACAAGGTGTACACACGGTTGAATAAGAGACTTTGTGGGACGAAATAAACGTAATAGATATCTTCTCAAGATTGCACATGAGTTAAGATGTAAATTTAAACTGAAATAAGAGAGAAAATGTCGCATTTTTGGGACTGGGGCGAAAGTAAAGGGATATTTGTACATCTTTTAGAGCCAATGTCTATGGATTAAGCGATATGTTGTAATGACAGATTATAAGTGAATTGTGGCGCTCAAGTGGTTCAAAGCTACAACATTCTATTCGTTCAAATGGTTCAAAGCTTTTATGATCGATAAATAATTATGGTTCTCACTTTCATGTATTTAAAACGAAAGATCAACTTTAAACAAAACTGAAAAAGAAAAAAAAACTTTCTAGGGCTATTTTCAATGATAAGGGCATTTATGTCTTTTCACCTTACAGGAGACCTACTTAGGCTTCTCTCACCATCATACCTCCCCTACCTATGTCTTTGATGATAATCAAGGTTAAGTTCCTACTCCTACTGCGGGTCCTACTTTCTCTATCCCTTCCATAATATTTGCCCCTGCTTCTGTTGCGACTTCTCCTCTTGTAGCCCCTATATTGATCTCTATACCTAGAACTACATCAAGTAAATATCAAAATATGTCCAACATGGAAGATGGAAGATGGATAATTGAATTGAAATTTACCAACCTATAAGTGTTAAACCTGATCAAAAAAATGTAAACATGGAAGATGGAGAATTGAATTGCAATTTACAAACCAGTTTAGCATTTTCATGTCATCTAGTTGTTGTTCTGTATTCTTTCATGGTGTGTTCTTCGGTCTTTGGAACTACCTTCACCTCTTCAACTTCTTTTGGTTGATATATCTGGTTGAAAATAGATAAAAAGATTTGCATTGTTGAGATATTTTTATGAAAGAGAAATTTTGAAAGATGGAAACCTTCCTCTGTTCACTAATGAGATAAGCAAACTTTTCAATATTTGGAACTGCTAGGGCATCAGATGGTTGAGGAAATGTCCAGGAGAAACTTTCACTGCTTCATTTGCTTTCCCCAGCTTGTCCATGGTCTGAGTTTAACAAAAAAAATCTTCAATTCATATTGAAGAGTAGTAAAGTTTATACATAATACATAGAGGTAGGAGGTTAATTCAGTAAGATGTACCCAACGCACGATGTTAGAAGTTTAGAACCAACTTAATATAATAAAATTGACTAAAACTAATGAATGGAAATCGTGTATATGGTTCTATAAAGTGATCGCTACCCCTTACAATTAAGATATACACAATTAATTGCTAGAAAATGTGAGATTTTGTTACCATATATTGATTTGACGCACCCAACGCACAAAAGATGTTCAAGTCGGCATTCCAAAACTTTAATTGGTGTTCCTAAACTTCAATCGGCGATCCAAATCATCGTTCCTATGTTCCAGATACACAAATAAAGGTAAGGTCGGTTCAATTTTAAAATCGTTGGATCATCCAAGATGTGTTCCCAAGTGTTTGGTATGAAATTGTATCCCATATCCAGTACGCGTTCTTACTATGGTGTAACAACGTAAATTTTAAGAACAAATTTTTCATTTTTCAAACTTCATAAAAACATCATTTAATATTCCAAATTCATACGTGAACAATTTTATCATAACAAATACATCCCATGATCATAAAAAAAACAGTTCCCCCGTCAGTGTGAACTATCACGCCAGCGCCTTCCCACGGTCCTCGCTAGTACCTGAAACACGTAACACAACAACTGTAAGCATAAATGCTTAGTGACTTCCCCAAAATACAAATTACGCACATACGCCTTTCCAGGGCCTGACCTTCTGGTCCATGTGTCTCAGGGGACTTCTGTCCCGACTAGGTAAACCTTCCGGTCCTACCCGCGTCAACCTTATAGTCCACATCACAACGCATTCCAGCCCATAACATATACGCCTTCCGGCCCATAACATAATGCCTTCCGGCCCATATCAAGCATATCATACATGGCACATATAAACGATTAACTTATCAAATACAATGCATATAACTCATAACATATCCAACCTTCCAGTCACACAATAAAACCCTTCCGGGTACAGTATAGTGAGAAAACTCACCTCGTGGAAAGTCTAAGATCTCGCGTACTCGCTATCTCCAAATCCCAACGACGACTCTACCTCGCCTAATCATAAAAATATCATTTTAATAATCAAAGAGTTCCACAAATAAAGTTTACCCCTTATCATCATTCCTCAGAGGGTAAAAGACCATTTTACCCTTCCTTGACCCAAAGTCTTCACATTGACCAAAACCCTAAAAGTCGACAAAAGTCAACCTTGTAAGTACGCGGGGCGTACTGCTTGATGTACGCGGGGCGTACATCGCCAACCCATGGATCGGGGTCTCCACCCAGTACGTTGTGCGTAATGGGAGTTACGCCCAACATAACCATCAGACTTTAGCATACATCATTTATGGTCTTAATCGGTTAAGCCATTACTCCAACTTCTAGATCCGGCTCTGTTTATGTGTCTATTACCATAAAGTCGAGACCTTTAAGACTTGGCATGGCTGTAAAGGCTCCAACACTTCTTAACATCATTCTATTCCAACTCAAGGACCTAGATCTCATGCATGGTGCAACATTCACGTCCAAGATATCATTTTTATGAGTCTACAACTCCAATAGACCAAAAATATGATAGATCTAAGCTTATGGAGACCATTTTGCACAAAAAGTCTCGACCTTTGGGACTAAAACCTTAGAAAATGGTACTTGAATCATATAACATGAACCATATGTCAGGATCCGAACTTTTTACCTGATAATGAAGCTTCAGCCTTTGCAAAGCTCAGATCCACACTTGAACACCACTTCTAGCCTTCCCAATGAGCTCTTCTTCTCCTTTGCTACCTTGGAATGGCACCACCAAGCTTAGAATACTCACAAAAGGGCCTAAGAACGAATGCACACTCTCTTTAGGGTTTCTCTCTGAGGGATGGTGGCTGAGAAGTCCAGCCACACATTCCTTTTATAGCCGTTCAAATGAATTAGGGTTTTTAGGTGTGGACCGGTTACGCCCAGCGTAACCTTGTGTACGCCTAGCGTACCCGAGGGTAAACGCGTCCAAATGAAGCGCGCGAGTACGCGCAGCGTACTCGCCTAACATGGAAACCCTAAATGGAAATATATCAAAGATGCATGGCTAAATAGAAGGATACCTGGATTTCGTGCTGTTACAATTCTCCCCCACTAGAACCAGACTTCGTCACCGAAGTCTCATACTGAAAACAACTCCGGATACTGATCTCGCATCTCATACTCGGACTCCCATGTCAGCTCGGACCCGTTCCGATGTTGCCACTGCACTTGTACCAAGGGCACTTCCTTGTTCCTCATAACCTTAACTTTCTGATCCCTAATCGACACTGGTCTCTCCACATAGTTCAGGCCTGCATCCACCTAAATATCATCTAATGGCACCACTGCCGACTCGTCGGCAATACATTTCCTCAACTGTGAGACATGAAAGGTGTTATGGATCTGTCCCAACTCAGCTGGTAGATCCAATCGGTAGGCTACCCTGCCTACCCTAGCAATCACCCTGAAAGGTCCAATATACTGGGGTCCCAACTTGCCCCTCTTCCTGAATCATATCACTCCTTTCCAAGGAGAGACCTTTAGGAGCACAAGGTCACCAACCTGAAACTCGAGCTCGGACCGACGCCTGTCCGCATAACTCTTCTGGCGACTATGTGCGGTCAACAATCTCTACCTGAACTGTTGAATCTGCTCGGTCGTTTGGAGTACAATCTCCATGCTACCCATCACCCGCTGCCCCACCTCTCCCCAACAGATGGGGGTGCGACACCTCCTCCCATACAATAGCTCAAACGGTGGCATACCAATGCTCGAATGATGGCTGTTGTTGTACGAAAACTCTGCTATGGGTAAATAGGTGTCCCAGCTCCCTCCAAAATCCAAAACACATGCTCGGAGCATATCCTCGAGCGTTTGAATCGTCCGCTCGCTCTGTCCGTCCGTTTGCGGGTAGTATGTGGTACTGAAATGCAGCCTCGTACCCAACTCCTCATGAAAATTCTTCCAAAACCTGGAAGTAAATCGTACATCCCGATCTGAAACAATCGACATCAGAACCCCATGCTGCGATACCACCTCCCTCACATATAATTTTGCTAACTTCTCCGCAGAGGAGCTCTCACTGGTGGCTAGAAAATAAGCGCTCTTCGTCAATCTATCCACAATCACCCACATCGCATCGACTCCCCTTGCAGTCCTCGGCAATTTGTTGATAAAATCCATGGTAATCTGTTTCCACTTCCATTCCGGAATCTCCAGCGGCTGCAATTTACCGTGTGGATGCTGGTGCTCGGCCTTAACCTGACGACAAGTCAGGCACCTCTCGACGAACCATGCAACATCCCTCTTCATACAGGGCCACCAATACTCCTTCTTTAGGTCCAAATACATCTTAGTAGCCCCGAGATGAATCGAGAATTTCGATCGATGCGCTACCTCCATCAAAATAGTACGCGTACCGCCCACAAACGGTACCCAAATCCGACCCTGAAAAGTCATGAGTCCCCGTCCATCCGTAATGAATTCCGATACCTGACCGACAACCCGCTCCCTCTTCTGGTTTCCTGATCTCGCAGCCTCAGCCTGAGCTCCTCGGATGG